AGTTTATCACATTTATAATTTAATAATAATTTTGGAGTTAACAATTTATAAAATGTTCAACTTTTATAGCTAAAGATTGAAAATTTAAAACAAGATTCCATTTAAATAGGTTATATTTAAATTACTTTATTCACCTTAGTATCATCAAATATACTTCGTAATATCATAGGCTGACTAACCGTTTTCGCTCAGAATCGTTATTCTTATACAATGATATTATATCATTGAATTAAAATTTAATACCATCCATTATACAGTAACCCACTTGTAACCTACTGTACAGCAGAGCACCTTTTTTTATTTATTTTAAGTAACGAAAGTTCATGAATTTAACGAAAGCAAAATCAAGTACACTTCGTACCTAATTTTAATTCTATTAGTTTCGGAGATTCACATAGAAAATGGACAACATTATACTATCATCATAGATACATACTATAATACCAATACATTATACATGTTATTATGATGAAAATTTGCAAAAGAAATGAGCATGTAAATGTAAAAAAACTATATCATTTACGTAAAATGAGAAAACTAGAGTGTCATGAATATTTACAAGCTCGTGGGCCTTGGTTTGCAAATTCACCAACATCTATGAGTAATTGTAATCGGTTTGTAAATAATCAGAATATTTGTACCTATGTCGACTAGTAAGAATATCATGACAAATGTACTTACTTTTAAGAGCGAAATTAATTAAAATATATATATTTTGTATACGCGTATGCAGCTTCATTAGAATGGCAATTTGTATTGAAACGAGTAATAAACTTAATATTATGCAATCATGATAACTCTACTTATTTTTTTTTTTTATTTGAAAACGAATTCATGTTGCTACTGTGTGTACATTAACACAGCATAAATAGTTGACTTTTAACAATATTTTTTACAGTTCAGATGCTAATGTGTATACTATAAAATATACAAGTATAATATTATTATATTATTCAAATAAAAATCTATAAATATTATAATTATTAACAAATAACAACATTCTTAGTCAAGTTGTTAAGTCAATGTTATGTTAATTCTAGTTTCTGGTTTCTGGTTTTACAACAAAACTCGACATTTTACTAATGGGTTATTTGAAATTTTATTTAATTTTTATGCATACGCCATGTCTAAATTTTACAGTAATATGGAAGAAACCAATGACATGGTTTTATGGATTTGAACTGTTAAAGTAGGTACGTTGCACAATGCACATATTATGATCTAATCCTTATCATAAACTGTAAGCAGCTTATTAACATATTATATTATTAATTACTATGCATACTCACGGCTTTATAGCATTTGGGGTAGTAATATTAATAATTGTGACGATATAAATATATAATATTACAACGCTAGTCAATAGACTAAAGTTCAGTTTAATTTTATCTTAACCCGCTATTTTCGTTTGTTATTATTAAGTGAATAAATATTAAATAAATAGTTAATATTTAATTATATCTCAGTATAGTTTATTAATTAAGTTATATAATTATTATATAACTTCTAGTAATATTTGTATTAAAACAATAAAATATCTAATCATACCGATGTACATTAGGAAAATATCATGCGATCAAAGAAACTAATATTAAATCAATAATCAATTAAGATATTATAAGTACGTAAGTTATTATATTTTAATTATTATTCTGTCTTCATTCAGAGATTTCTAAAACCGTAGTAGGTACCTACTATTTATTAATTTTTAACTTCGTTAGATTTGTGTTTTATACTATTAGATATTAAATTAACAGAGTTTAAAATATAATCCATTGCATTGCACATGCAGCCTCGAAATGTTTAGTTAATTAGTAATTACAATATATAATATTATTGCATATTAATTAAAACTTACTCATGGGTTTGTGCTGATTTAGCTGAATTTATTTTTACTACTCCACTGTTGATATATGTCGGTATAAAAATAAGACTAATATTATTATACAAGAATATAATATGTTCAGTATGATAGTTATAACGGTATTAAATATGTATATATATATTATATATATGCTACTTAATATTGTATTTTCACAAAAGTCTTTATAATTCGTTCCAAAATTAGTTATATATATTTAGAATAATTCATAATAAACTCATTTTAAGCAGTTCAAAATTAGGTATCAAAAATCGTAGCTGGTAACAATAATAAGTGCAAAAATACCAATGTCGATTTCGTGTGGGTGAAAATTTTTTTTTCAAACTTATTATAATAAAATTGTTACATTGTAAATTATTTTAAGTACAAAATAATGAAAGTTTTTCCATTAATCTTGTATTGATCTTCCGATGATATGTTTACAGTATTGACAGTTTTTCATTATGTAAAACGATTTAAATAAAGTGAGTAAAGAATATCTCTGCTTGTAGATGTTTATACGAGTTTTCAAACCAACTTAATTAATTTGTACGAGCAATACTTAAATTATGTATAATATGCATATAATATACAATATACTCATTCCTACTTTAAAAAACGAAAAACATAATATGAACTACAAATGTAGCAGGTATAGTGGTTTCTCCAATGCTCTAGATGTTCAATAAGATATGTTTTAGAAAAAAAAAAACCTGGTAAGTGGATTTCGCTCTGCTGTACAGTAGGTTACAAGTGGGTCAATGTATAATGGATTGTGTTAAACTTGAATTCAATGATATAATATCATTGTATAAGAAAAACGATTCTGAGCGGAGATGGTTTGTCACTTGTCAGTCTGGATATTTTATATTGTTTTTATTTATTATAGCCTGTTAGTTGAATTAATATTATATTTAATTAATATTAATATTATTAATATTATTATTTTTATTCGTTTCTATGGTAATAAACAAAGCGTTCGAAATTAAAATCCCATTTTTAGTGGATTTTCGTAATTCGTTGGTGGTTTTTCCCGTGGCATTAAACAACTGTTTAGAAAATCGAAAAATTACCTTTTCTAAGTACTATCTTGCTAAAAGATAAGGTACTATATGTTGAAATCGAAGCACTTCTTGTGGTTAAAAATTGTGTATACAGGATAAAAAAAAAACCACCATTGTAAAACCACTATCTTCCTCGCTCCGCTCAGAATCTAAAAAAGGTGGGCAAGTGGGTGTCGCTCTGCTGTACAGTAGGTTACAAGTGGGTCATTGTATAATGGATGGTATTAAATTTGAATTCAATGATATAATATCATTGTATAAGAAAAACGATTCTGAGCGGAGACGGTATGTCCTTCTAGGTATAAGACATATTATATACATATCTATGGTATTAAAAAAAATTGACCTTTAATGAATTCCAAATTAATCATATCACAATATCCATTAGGTACTTATAACGCGTTATACACCAACAACAAACCCTGATACTATCATAGATATATATAGTAGATTACTTTAGAAATTTCAAGTACCCACGAATAATATTATACAATCACAACAAAATAACTAAAATCGTAATTCTTGGTTTAAATATGAAATTTTGTCTAAACTTGAAATTAAAATGTCTGTAAAAAATAAGTGTGTTTATATATTTTTTAGATTTTTTGGTTACAGTATCATTATTTAAGAGAATCTTTGTTTTAAATTTTCAACTCTTAGTTATAAAAACTGAACATTTTTTAATTTTTTAATTCCAACGATTGATAATTTTCGAGATTTTGATAAATTTTGTCAAAATTCCAACTTTAAATGCTTATAAAAAAAAATCGTGCCTATGTATTTTTAATATTTTTCAACTGATATTGTAACAATATATCAGGAGCCTTGTATTAAATTTTTACACTTTTTGGCCCAACAGATAAAACTTTATTGATATTTATAGAAAAAAAAACTAAAAAAAATTGAAAGCTGTAAATGTCCATAAACAGCTCAAAAAGAGTCAAAATATTTTCAAAATTGTATGGTGTATAGGAAATGCTAATATAAACATTCAGTGAAATTTTCATGTATCTACAGTTATTCGTTTTTGAATTACAACAAAATAAGGAAATCGCTACATGAGAAATCGAGTGAAAATCCAATGTTGTAAAAATTTGAATTTCAAACGCTCATAAAAATTTAATTTGACTGTCCGGTAGAGATTTTTTTATTGATAAAGGTAGATAATCTTATAAGGAATCTTGTGTTTCATTTTCAAATCTTAGATTTAAAAAGAAAAATTTTTACGAATTCTTAACTCAAAATAATTTGCTAATTTTCGTGATTTTTCCATATTTTGTCAATTTTTGAACTTTAAATGCTTATAAAAAAAAATTGTGACTAAGGATTTTTAATATTTTTCATCTGCCTTTGAAACAACGTATTAGGAGCCTTCTATTAAATTTTCAAGCTTTCGCAACCAACAAATAAAATTTTATTGATATTTTTAGAAAAAAAACTAAAAAAAAATGGAAAATGAAAATGTCCCTAAACAGTTCAAAATAAATCAAAATATTTTGAAAATGTTATCGTGTATAGAAAATGCAAATATAAACAACCAGTGAAAATTTCATGTATCTACGTTCATTTGTTTTAGAGTTACACCAATAACCAAAATCGATTTTTTGGAAAACCAATTTTGCGTAAAAATTCCCGTTTTTCCTTAATTTTTATGTTGTTTTTCCCGGCGCTTGTGAAAACTACTGGGAAATTTATACTTTTGACCCCCCAAAGTACCAACTAGATTCACTTTCCTACCAGAAAAGCTACTGATGAAGAAAATCCAAGCACTTTTACTGTCCTAAAACGTGATGACAGACACAAAAATATAAAAAAAAACATACATCATTGTAAAACCAATACATTCATCGCTCCGCTCAGAATCTAAAATTAGCATTTTAAAGATGGGCCTACACAGGAATCTATATATTATATTATAAAAGCCAAATACCACTGTAAATCGACGTGGTAGACCTGGTTTGGACCACGGACAAATCGCCACTGCCAATTGTTTTGGCGCTGAACAATAGGCCACTGATAATAGCTTCCAGCGAGTACAATAGGTCACTGCAAATATAGCTTCCGCGGTGGACAATTTATAGACCAATGCCAATCATTTCCACGACTGACGACACGCTGCTGCCACTGGTTTCCAAGCCGGACAATATGCCACTGACCCTGGTTTCCACGACGAACAATATAGGACACTGGTAATAGTTACCGTGACGGACCACACGCCGCAGCCACTGTTTTCCGCGACGGGAAAGGCGACGCCAAGAGGACGCCATGGCCCATGAGTATCGAGAGGAGTGTGGCGTCATGCTGCAATAACCACTTTGGTTCTGAAAAAGAACCAGTGACCACTTAGCACATATTGTGTTCGAAACGTTTTGTTGTTGTGTCTGCGCCACGCTTCGCAAACAATAAGACATAGTTTACGATGCTATTTTTTTCTTGGTATGTATTCATGATTCACGTTAGTTGTAACTCGAAAGCGTTTATTTGGTCTGCGTTATATTTAGTAGCAAAATAACACAAAAACTAATTTTATTATTTTCCATATCTATATATTATTTGAACCGGTTCATCTAAATTTTACACTTCGGTTTTAGAGTTCTTCAAAAATAATATATGTAAATATTTTCAGATAAACATTGAGATCAAAGTGAATGATCATCCGATTTTATTGAAACATTACTTGTAATAATATGATCTAGCTGGTGGTTACCGAATAATGTGGACCAGTGACTGTGGAGCCAAAAACACCGTCATCGCACAAACGCATTTGTAACAAGATTTTAAATGTCGATGAAATTCCAATCTAAATAGATAATAATTATACTATCTATTCGAATATGAAATATTCGATAGTTCAAACTATCTATCCATTTCAAAAGTACATAAAAAAGATCGTTACCTACCTACTCTCTTGTCCGATGACTGTGGTTGACGGTTATAAATCGCTGCTGGCAAGGATCACGTGATCCGCGCTACCAAATAATGAAAAAAGGTAAAGGAACTAAGTCTCAGTCTAATGCCACCATAACGCTGTCGAGCTAAAAACACAGACATCGCTCAAAAAAGTTTATAACCAGCTTTTAAATGTCAAAGAAAAATAATCAAATATACATGGATAATTTTATATTATCTATTCGAATATTCGATAGTTTCAAACATATATATATTTAAAAAAAAAATTTTATCTATTCATTTATTTTATAATTTACGATAATTATAGGGATATGCTTAATTCACGAATGAATCAAATCACTGAATCGATTCTGTTTAGTGAATCACATTAATTAATTTTAGTATTTACGAAAGGGTAAATTCATCGGTACTAAGTGGGAACTCTAGATTTCTTCAAGGATAATAAAAAAAAATGAATTATTCGATAATTTGGTGTTATAATATGGTTATTTGTTATCATTTAACAATTTAAGGTTATACATTATCAATTTAGTATTGCAAAATGTTGAACAATACTAAGGGTTTGAATTCTACATTTTTGAACATGAAATATTTGTTTAAACATTAAAACCATGTATAAGTCTAGTATGATTAACATAATAGGTGAACATAATAAAGGAACTCGAAGAAAACTTAAACTGTAATTTAAAATTGGGTGTCTAACTGTCTAAGCCATATTATAGCTGTACTATTATTCAGGTGTGTTCAATACTTCAGCATTTTGTATTATCCTGCATGATGGTCTCTAACCTAAATCGTTATGTTTGATAATCTTGCTGTACTTAAGGTACAATTGTTATGTTTGAGATTTTATGCTGTATAAATGTGTACTAATAAGTTTGTAAGTACCTATGTCGTTTTATAATATGTAGCTCCAATGTGTATACGAAGCCAAACTGCTTTTCATTCATTTTAAAATCCCTTAATAGACAACAGTCTAAGCTGTAACTATAAGAATAAACTGTTATTAAACAAACCCAATGGTTGTAAAGTATGGAAAAAATATCATTCCATGTCAGAGAAGTCTGTTTCCCAAATATAGAAAATATTGTGGTAACTTTGTACCTGTATTTTGTTTGAAATTTCTTCTATCTTATTTTTACTATATGCAAGTTGAATTATTGTGTCTCATAGACTTTTTAAGTACCTACATATATACATAAGAGGCAACTTCCAACAATCAAACTTGTTGTTGGTAATTGGATTCATTATTTACCTACTGAAGTTCTTGAACCATTATAGTTTTTTTTAAGGTTTATTAAAAAAAATCGTTTTCGTAATTGATTTTTGTCATGAATTATTTCCACCTCTAATTACTCTTTCTCATTTTAATACACCGGTTGGTGCAAAGTTGCAAAGTTAATTAATTTACATTGTATACCTATAAGATCCCAATTTGATTATTATTTTTCTATATATTTATGTTAATATTGGGTTTAGTATTTTATTAATTTATAGTTAAACAAATTTGAAAATTATACTTGGTTCCATATTCCAATAGTGAAAGCGTATGTGAATGTATGCCTATAATTAAGTATTTTTTGGACTATTGTGGTAAATGATAAAAGTTATATTCTTCTGCTAGATTTAATTAATTCCGTTTCGTCTGTTTCACATAACTATATGTACTATTTTGAGTATATAATATAAACATATTTTTAGTTTTAATATTTACACGTGTCACTTTCAATCGGTGATGGTAATACAAAAATACAGTCTATTAATTTAATTTTTTAATATTAGAAAATATTTAAGACATGTTAATCATGTCATTCATGTCATCAATTCATTACACGTATTTTTTCTTATATAATTTTTATTGTGAACCGAACTAAATTGAATTTATAAAGTAAGCCCAAAAACCAAGAAAAAAAGTTTTGGAGCTTAATAACAGTGAAATTTACCACATAACTTACAATTTTAAAAAATGTGAAACAAGATTTATTTATTTAAGAAACCATTTCTTTTCAGAAGACTTTGAACTTTATACAGTAGTTTTTCATTTTGTCGACATAAAATATAAACTTACAAATCAAAATAAATTTCTATCTTCACAATATATTCTTCAGGAATACTATCACAAAAAACAGATAGAATCCTAATTCCTAATGGTATTAATCCATAGATAGGTATTGGCTTTAGAGGGCTTGAGGGGCTTATGTCCCTCCAGAATGTTTTCATGCTACACAGAAGGTTAACTCTATTTCAACATTTCAAGTACTTAATGAAGTGCGTTAACCTACCACAAGGTGAACATATTTGTTTTGTAAGAAATAATTTTCATCAATATTTTACTAATTTACCTTTTTTTTATACCAATTTATGCATTTACTTTGCACGTAAACTATTAACTTATTGTGAAGACAAAACCCAAACATTTAGGTTAATTTTTCATAAATTTTTTAAAAATATACTAAAAATATTTTACTTAATTTCAAGAAATAATTTATACTTAAAAATAATTAGAGAGGATAACAAGAAATTGATAATATAATATAAGAAGTTGATCTTTTAGTCTACCACCTAAACTATTATGTATAATTTACATGACACATCACATCGATACTCTTTATAATACAATTATTTTTTTTTACAAAATAAATATAATACTAAGTTGATATTTACAAATTAATACTTATACCATAGTTATGCAGATTTGTTATTTTTTTTTATGATATTATGCATAACATAAAAAATAAAAATACTTACTTTTTACAAACACAACAATGGTCAATGTTTCAATATTGAATATTATAGTAAACTGAATGATTACTACCTATATTTATAATTATTTATAGATGTATGCACTACATTGTTTTCTACATACCTATAGTTAAATAGAAGGTGGTACCTATATTCATATTAACTGCTCAATGCTCATATTATACGAGGGCGGGCTGATAAGTAATGCCTCTTTACGCGTAGTTTTAAAAGTATTATACATAGAATAATTAATGAAAAACACACGTATAGTAATTTAAATGATTTTTATTTACATACTATTAATTTTCAACATAACTACTTTCTAAGGCGATACATTTTTGCCAATAATTTACTAATTTAGAAATGCCGTAAATACGAGAAATTCAATAACAGCACGCTGTTTGAACCGCACATCTGAAGGGCCCCTCATTATAGATTCCATAAATAATAAAATATTAACATTACACTATCGCGTCTTCGCACACACTAAACCAACTACATAAACTATTATATTGACAACAAATGATAATTTTATCGTACATCTAAAAATAACTATAAGATAAGAGGCATTACTTATCAGCCCGCCCTCGTATATTATTATCTTTTTGAATGCTTACCACGAAAATCTGGGATTTACTGACTAATGAAAAAGTTTTTGCGAAGTTTTTCCATGAATTTACACCCTGTCATTTTATAGAAGAGTCGATTGGGTCTGATCATGAAACCAAATTATGCTTCGGAAACAGATATTTTGGAAACATAATATAAAATCATGTACTTACTTAAAAAATAAATAAATATGCGTATCGGGAATTGGTTTGTTGGCAGCTGAATATCATTTATATATTATGCTTTAAGCCTTATGTTTGGTTAGGCAGACCTTTATGTATATTATTTTGTATTCTTTTTTTTGATTTCAATAAATTCAATAAATAATTCTTGAACCCCTAAAATGTATTAAATAATGAAAACATTGCAAATTATTCTTTTGTACATATCAACAATAAAAGCCATTTCTAGTGACCTTTTTACGGTTAGATTTTTCCTTTATTTACTGTTAAGCCATCCGTTTGTCATTTGATGTTAATTTTATTTGTGAAAATTAAACAAAACACTTTTTACAACAATGCCATTTTTCAGTGGTCACTTAAAACTGATTTTAATTATTTTACACGTTTAGTCTTTGTATTATTTCTACTCAGGTTTATTAAAATTTAACGTTTAGAAAAAATTTCAAGATGACTTGAATTTAATTATTCTGGATAGGTACCACCTAAAGTGGATGTGAAGATTTGTTAAAAAAATATTTTATATCCTCCAAAGAATCGCAATATTATGTAATAAAGCACGTTCACTGGTGTATACAGTAAGGAATAAAATATATAAATTACAAAGCATCGTGTATTATTTACGATTATGTATGAATGCATGATGTTATGTATAGGTACATTATAATATTTGCAGTAGACAGCTTCAAAAATATAATTTTAAGAATCAACTACATATTGTAAAAATAGTAAAAATGTTATTTCATAGGATTCTAAATGGCCGCACAATATGTGATTGATCAACAAATATATGTATTTAAAATATCTTTCTAATCAGTACAGCTTGGGTTCTTTATAAAAACTTTATAATTTTTCTTTCAGATGTTACAGGTTATGAAAACCATCTTACCGTCATTCATATATTCAATTTAAAACATTTATTTATGTAAAAATTTAAATTATAATAAAATATTAACTAGTGTTTAAGATTT